TTTTTTTTTTCTTGACATCAAGAAGTTTGTTTCAGATTTTCACTGATTTCTTTCATTTCTATGGCTTGTTTTCAGCACTAAAAAAAGGAAAAAAAGCAGGTAGCTGCCATATAGGGATGCTTTGCAATTATAAAAGTAATGATTTGAGTCAAGTAGGAAGTATGTGGGCTCCAGCAGAGATCAATGCAGTAGCATTACTCTTAGGAAAATGCCTTAAGAGTCACCATTCGGGCACCTGCATGCCAGACCTGTCAGATAATGTTTGTTTGATGCTTAACCTTTCTCCTGCCCAACTCCAGATATTATAAAATTGACAGAGAAGAAAGCTTTTAAGATAAACAAATGTCGTGTCATTTGGACATGGGTTTAAAACAGAAAATAATGAAGCTTCGGCCGTGTGGATTTGTGGCTTTGCAAGTTTCCCTGCAGTTCAGGCCTTTGAGGAATGTAAATAACAGTGCCTATAGGGAATTATATCCATGTGGCCACTTTCCACTAGCGGTGAGGTTTGAGCCTGTGCGTTTCCAACACACAGCTGCTGATAATCAGTAAAAAAATCCTCTCGGGATGTGAGTCATTCCCTATCAGTAAAAAAATCCGCTCGGGATGCGAGTCATTCCCTGTGCACTACCTTGTAGCTCCTGAATTAAGAGCTGAGCCGGGCGCCTCTCCCTGCAACCTCACGTGCGTCATGGGCCGCGTCAACGCCGACTGCGACGCCTGCATGTGCCAGGACGTCACCCTGCACGGCAAGGTGTCCCTGGAGGACGGCTCGCCCGCCGCCGGCGCCCGCGTCTACCTGCAGGCCAAGAAGCTCAAGCTCTTGACGGCGGCCAACGGCGCGGGCGCCTTCAGGATCCCCGGGGTCTGCCCGGACGGCAAAAGCACCCTGAAAATCAGGAAAGCCAAATACGTCACGGCCAGCGTCACCGTGCCCGAGAGCAACAAGAGGAACCTGGCCATCCAAGTGCAGCTGGAAAGATCAGGTGAGCCCAAGCAAAGGGGATGGAGTAATAGAATCCAGGGGACAGAAATAAAGCTTAATTTTAGAACTAATGTGATGTTTTCACCTCCTTTTGCAGGCAAACCGTACATCTTGAAGAGCCCCGAGGACAAAGCGAGGCGGGTGGGACAGAGCGTGTCGCTCTGCTGCGATGCTGTTGGCACCCCAGAGCCCGACCGCTACCTCTGGTAAGGGCTCTCTCCCACAGCTTTGATTTTTACTTCCTTACCATCCTCATGAAGCTAAAATAAACACCATAAACTTCATAACTACAAAGCAGGGGACTTAACAGGTGGAGAATCCATTGGTGCAAAGGAGGGGAGATGTCTACAGCTGGCCTTTCTCACATATATAGTGATGAAATCTGCATAGAGACTTGCTGGAAAAGCAGATATGTAAGTGGGAAAGAGGTCTGGTATCCCGTGCGGATCCCTCCAGCAGGATGCAACAGGACGAGGACGCAGCTCTGCTCCAGGCTTTCGGTCACTGTGTCCCATTAACTGTCTGCCTGTTCCTGGCAGGTATCACAACGGCTCGCTGCTCGATCCCTCCTTATACAAGTACAAAAACAACCTGATTTTGAAGAACTTGAACAGAGGCCAGTCGGGAGAGTATTTCTGCAAGGCCAGTAGCGATGGGGGTTCGGCAAAATCCCAACCGGCCAAACTGGCCGTGATAGGTAAGGAAGAACCGCGCCGCGAGGAGGTGGCAACCACGCACGGAGATTCTGCTGCGTTCGGGGAAGGAAAGTCACGGGAAAAACGGGCAGGGTTTATCTCACTCGCTGGTTGGTAGATAAGCGTGAGGGATTTATCAGGCCGATATTCCCTGAAAACTGGAGCTCTGGATTCCGGAGGACCTCTCAAACCCAACCTGCTGGGCACAGTGATTGGTCTCTGCACTTGCTGCCTTACAAATGAATATTCCAGTGTTTTTAAATCCTGAAATATATTTAAGTCTGTCCATAGGACAGTCTATTGCCAAAATTAGGACAGTCTATTATTAGCACAGTCTATTGCCAAATAGGACTGTCCTAACTGGGTACCTTACATTAAAACTAGCCTAACTAACCAAAAATTTTGCAAAACCTCTGTTTTATTGCCATGCAAACCTCATTGTTATTGGGAGCAGTGTTTATCTCTGAGGGTTTTATCCCACATACCGAGGGTCTTGCAACTATTTCATGCTGTTCCTTAACAAATCCTATTTAACAGGAAGGCACGAGGCAGCCTGCGACCCCCAGCCCCAAAGCCACCCCATCCGCCTTCCACACGACTGTTTCCAAAACACAACTAACTCATTTTACTACGACGTGGGCAAATGCCCAGCCAAGATCTGCGCCGGGAAGCTGGACAAGGGCCTGCGCTGCAAGGACAACACCGCTTACTGCTGCGGCGTCTCCAAAATGGAAACGAGACAGATCTCCTGCAACGGATACACGCTGCCCACCAAAGTCGCCGTGGAATGCGGGTGTAAGAAGTGCACGGAGACCAAGAAAACGGTGCGAGGCAGAGCCATAGCGGCGGACAACGGCGAGCCGCTGAGGTTTGGCCACATCTACCTGGGCAACAAAAGAGTGAGCATGACAGGCTACAAGGGGACTTTCTCGGTCCACGTCCCCGTAGACACGGAGAGGCTGGTTCTGACTTTCGTTGACCGGCTGCAGAAGTTTGTGAATACAACCAAAGTCCTCCCATTCAATGAGAAGGGAGGTGCGGTGTTTCACGAGGTCAAGTTACTAAGAAAGAAACCCCCGGTCACGCTGGAATCCTCCGAAACCAACGTGATTTCGCTGGGAGAAATGGAAGATGATGATCCGATTGCCGAATTAGAAATCCCTCCCTACGCATTCTATAGGAAGAATGGAGAAGTCTATACAGGTAAAGTGAAAGCCAGCGTGACGTTTCTGGACCCAAGAAACGTCTCTGCGGCTGATGTGACACAAAGCGACCTGAATTTTGTAGATGATGAAGGAGATATATTCCCTCTCCGTACCTATGGTATGTTTTCGGTGGATTTCACTGATGAACAGGGCACCGAGTCTCTTAACGCAGAAGACGTGAAGGTTCATTTGGACACTGCGCAGGTCAAGATGCCAGAGCACCTGGAAGAGATGAAGCTTTGGTCCCTGAATCCAGAGACAGGCTTATGGGAGGAGGAAGGGGACTTCAGCCTCGAAAGAAGCCGACGGCACAAGAGAGAGGAAAGAACTTTCTTGGTTGGGAACATGGAGATCAAAGAACGGCGGCTTTTTAACCTGGATGTGCCAGAGAGCAGACGGTGCTACGTCAAAGTCCGGGCCTACCGAAGCGAGAGGTTTCTGCCAAGCGAGCAGATCCAAGGAGTAGTGATTTCTGTCATAAACACAGAGCCAGAGCCAGGCTTCTCCTCCAACCCTCGAGCGTGGGGTCGTTTCGACAGTGCGGTCACCGGTCCCAACGGCGCTTGCGTGCCGGCCTTCTGCGACGAGCAAAACCCGGAGGCCTACGGAGCTTACATCTTGGCGAGCATGGGGGGTGAAGAGCTCGAAGCTGCGTCCTCTGCTCCCAAACTCAACCCCAACGTCATTGGGGTCCCGCAGCCCTATCTCAACAAGCTCAATTACAGGAGGACGGACCACGAGGACCCGAGCACCAAGAAAACTGCTTTCAGCATCAACATGGCCAAGCCAAACCCCAATTCCCCGGAGGAGAACAACGGCCCTATTTACGCATACGAAAACCTAAGCGAATGCGAGGAAGCTCCATACAGTGCTGCTCATTTCCGATTCTATAGGGTAGAGGGAGACACGTACGACTACAACACCGTTCCCTTCAATGAGGATGACCTTATGAGCTGGACCGATGACTACCTGGCGTGGTGGCCCAAGCCCATGGAATTCAGGGCCTGCTACATCAAAGTAAAGATAAACGGACCCCAGGAGGTGAACATAAGGTCTCGCAACATGGGCGGCACGCACCCGCGCACCATCGGCAAGCTCTACGGCATCCGCGACGTCCGCAGCATTCGCTCCCCGGAGCGGCCCGGCGTGTCGGCGGCCTGCCTGGAGTTCAAGTGCAGCGGCATGCTCTACGACCAGGACCGTGTGGACCGCACGCTCGTCAAGGTGGTCCCACAAGGCAGCTGCCGCCGGGACGGCGTCAACAGCATGCTGCACGAGTACCTGGTGAACCACCTCCCCATGGCCACCAACAACGACTCCAGTGAATACACCATGCTGGCTCCCCTCGACCCGCTCGGGCATAATTACGGCATCTACACCGTCACCGACCAGGACCCCAGGATCGCCAAGGAGATCGCCCTGGGCAGGTGCTTCGACGGCACGTCTGACGGCACGTCCAGAACCATGAAGAGCGACATCGGGGTCGCGTTGACTTTCACCTGCGCGGAGAGGAGCGCGGCGGAGCAGAGCGCCTTCCAGTCGCCAAGGAACTCGGGCCAGCAGTCGCTCCTGGAGCTGCCGAGGGAAAGCGCCGCGTTCCGAAGGCCGCAGGGAAGCCGCAGAACGGCCCCAGGCAGGAGCCCCATGAGAGCTCAGCGCTCTCCCGCCTACTAGAGCTAGGCGGCAGCCTCGGGAAAGTCGCTCCCGGTCGATTAAATAGGCTCTGAAAGGAATATCTACCTGCGAATAGTCTGTCTCGACGCAGGTAGGTGTCATCACCTTTAAGATATACTTAAGGTGCGCATTTCTTATTTTGCATTGCACCAGGAAGGATGCACAGGAGGTAAAAACTGGGAAGTCAGTAGTTGTAGCAGGTTCCTGTCTTAGTAAACAAGTCCATAAAAATCTCCTTTCTGCCTGACATTAAGCAGCTTCACACATTAGCCTAAAGGGAAAAGTAAATGCCTAATTGATTTAAATCATGTACATAAAACATTCTCCCATTCTGCATCTGCAGACTTTGCCAGCCCAAGTACCTGTACAGTAGTTGGTAACTTGAAAAGGAATAAACTGATTTCCTCATACTGAATTCAACTGCAGTTTTTTACTTGAAATGTAAGTATTTTATTTATTTCTAGCTTGTTTTAGAGTGACTGTATTCAAGCTAAAGTACTGGCAGCTGCACTTCTAAAAACTCACATTTGATAGCACGAAGAAACCACGTGCATTTGTTGGTCCCACATGGATAAGACTGCAGCTTGCTCTTGCTTCTGGCTTCTTTGAGAGGAAAACCTCGGCTCTAGAATAGGGTAGATTAATAAAAAAAATAATTTTGTTACTTTGACAATGGCGTTTTCCTTTTGTGTTTGATGTGTCCAAGTAAACTAACCACACACAGAGAGGACCGGCGAAGAATTTGCTGAATTTCACAATCCCTTTCACAAACAGGTCCCAGCTATATCAACACAAGGCCAGTCCTGGGTCCGGCCGTTTGGTGGGTGGCTGGGGCAGGGAATTCAGAGCAGGACCAAGTCGAGGGACAGGGACAAGGGTGGTTTCTCTCTATATTTAGCAGCAGCGAGCAGGGCTCTTGGGCAGGAAGCTACTGTGATCTGAAGACCTTGATGGCCACAGAAGGGGTCCAAGAGCTACTGCTACGAGTCATCAGCCAAACACATTGGCCTGGCTGGTTATCAAACCCGCACAAATTTCCTCGTCCACATCCAAACTGAGCACCAGCTGAGAACAGATCCCCTGCTTTACACCCAAACCTGCCACAGCAACAGCACGGGGGTGCAGGCAAACCAGCAAAAAACCTGCTGTTTTCACTGCAGATAACCCAGATCCAGCACAACTGGATGAAAGCTCAAGTTGCAATTCAAGCTCATGCTTGAGCTCAATTTCTTTGCCCCTTCCCCTCAGCCCCTTCTCATGTGTAAGGGCAGGTTTTAATCTACATCTATTCTGAGCCCCATCTCCAGCTCACTGAGGCGGGGGGGACTTTTCAGGAGGCTTTAGCCAGCTCTGCACCAGGCTCTCACTTCTAACAGGGCATTTCATGTTGGAGGCAAAAAAAAAAAGAAAAAAAAAAGAAAAAAAAACAAACTACAATCTGTGCTCTTATGCAAATTGTCAATTAGGAACGAGAAACAGAAAAGGAAGAGCTGCGGAATACTTTGGCACATCACCTTCACTCCGATGAGCTTAGCCCGTGTGTTTTGTGTCTGGTCTGGCGCGGGCTCGGGCCGAGGCAGCCAGCGGGGAGCACGAGCTCGGACCTTCCCGCCGAGATCCTGGCTCCTCTCCTCCTCCTTCCCCTCCTCCTCTGCAGCCAAACCCTGCTCTTGGCTTCATCGCTTTGGGAGCGACGTAACACAAATGACTTCTGCAGAGCAGGCGGGGAGTTACAAGGCTGCGAACAGGCTGGGGGGATCTTCTCCTCGTGCCGCACGCCGGCTTATCCGAGCCAAGCACTGCCGAGTGCAGGGCTGTTTGGGGAAAAAAAAACTGTTTAATAGCAATGATCACAGTCCTAAGGTCTAAAATTCTGTCCATGAAGCAGAAAGAAGCTCTGCAAGTTTCCCCAAACTATCCCTACACTCTTCCCCTTGCCGTGGCCTTCAGACCACCAGCCTTGAGGAGCAGTTGGAAGAGATGGGGCTCCCAAACACCCGAGGTTAAACTAACAGCAAAGCATCTTCTATGAAGGTCACTTAGTTTCCAACCCTCAGATAAATCCCGTGATCCAACCCCCTTTCCTCCTGCTTCCAGTAAAGGGAAAACGCTGCCTCCCAGAAGCTCTCATCCTGCCAGCAGTCAGGGCAAACAACACTCATCTAGTCTCAGCATTCACATTATTCCCAGATTTTGGTAACCTGCTTTTGGAAAAGGCTCCGGTTCCTTCCTATATTCCTGTAAATATAGCAGCCACTTGTGCTTTTGGTTTACTTGCAAGTTATTCAGGGGTAAGCAGGACCACAGCAGATTCCCAAGGAGTGGGGGAGCAGTAGGATTTGGGGTTATGGAACAGATGTACCTGTTACCACCAGCACATTAGCAAATATCACTCCTCGTATTTATTTGAAATTGAAGATAACATCATTGCTACCCAAAACCAGAGCCATTCTGCTGATCAAAAATTTTCCAGGTCTACCAATAATAATTGGATTTCAGGGATCTCAAACTAAGCCTCAGGGAATACCAGCCTAGGAATATCTAGGCTACTTTTTCTTTCTCCTCCGAGAAAACAGCTGTTTTATTTCACTAGTATCAAATTCTCAGTAGCTACAGGGGCTGCGCTCGAGCTCAGCAGCGCTACTCGGATCTGCCCCACGAGGTCTTTATTCCAGAGGCAGCCCTGACACGCTGCTCCGCACCTCATCAGCGAATCCCTCCCTGCTGTGATGTGCTCTGCAAAAATAATCCCTGCCTACTGGGTTAAATCCCCACGGAGCTAGGCCAAGGCAAAGTTTCCAAAGAGGCATTTTCACTAAAAGCTAACCGGGGAACACTAATTCCCTTTAAAGCTCCTTTACTACGTCATAAATATCAGGGCAAAGATTTTCTCCATAAAAACAAATACATTTTACTCTCTTTTCCTCTATAAAATTAGGGGACACGGGCATTTTCACAGCTAAGACCTTAACTGTAAATCAAAAACAACAAAAAAACCCCTAACATTTACTATCTTACTGTACAGAAATTCCGAAAAGCTTTGAAGAAAATTCTGCACAGATCAAAGATTAAATTACATGTACAAATAATGCATCCTGGCTACAGCATGGTTTAAGCATTACTGGTATTAAAGAACTGAAGATGTTCTGAATTAGCTTTTAATTTCATGAACTTTTGCCCAGCTGATGCTGGTTTTTTTTCCCTTAAAAGAGATGCAGAGGGCACCATCTACCGGGTGTCTGCCCGTACTCCGCCTCAGACTTGCAGGAGACTCATGGAAACTTCACTGCTACTACACATTTTAGCTGGGATAGAAACTACTTCTTGCCAGCAATGACTAACAATATATTTCAAACACAGCGCAATCCAGAACTGTCACCAAAAAGTGTAGAAATTGGTCCTCTCTAATGCTAACATCCGATACACACATTACCATTTGCAGGATGATATTCCAACTAGCAGCATTATGACCACATTGCTTTCATTTAACATTTTTTTGCAATTATTTTCCATTGCTATCAACTTGTTAATGTCAGAGCACTATTAAAAAATTTTAAAAAGCAGTGGAGCCGCCAAGAAGTTCTCAAAAATCATTCCTAGGAACAGAGCAGATGAGTTACCTGGAGCAGTGTCAAAAACGTCACTGTCTGATGGGATGCAGCTTGTAAGTATTTTTATCCTCAAACATCCTCCCTTTGCAACACTGGAAATTGATGCCCACAAGACTTTTTTAAATTATTTTTTAATTAAAACAAACCAACCCACTCCTCTCCATTCCATTGGCACGAGATGTTACCTAACCTAACCTTCCTACCTGATGTGAACAGATTAAAGCAAAAGGACATCACAGCCTTTAGTTGCACGTAGCAGATGGGAGGGAGCAGAGCAGTAAAACAGAGCATTTACTTGGAAGTTGCTGCCCATTTTTAAGTTTCCGCAGCACAAATTCCACCCTTAAGTCTATGGCCAAAGTCAAAGGAACTCCAAAGAAGTCCAGCTTTCAACTTACTGTTGTTTCCAGGTTTCGGCTCTGATTCACAGCCTTGGATTTCTCAGAGGATCAACCTGTCAGAGGCAAATTAATTGTTGAGCTAATGGCAAAGAAAGAAAAATACTGTAGCATCTGCTCTAACAGATGCTTCTTTAAAAGCATTTTCTCCACATTACAACACATTTTCTGAATTTTGGTTTTTTTTATTGAGTTTCACTCAAGTGTGTAAAGTTCCTGCCACCATGGTATAAAACCCATTCAAAATGGATTCAATACATGATATTAACGCTAAATTCCAGGGGTGCGTCCTTGAAAAGACATGAATCCATTGAAGTCTCAACAGCCAAAGGGACACATGGAGGAGTCTCGAGCACAAAGTGCGCACGAGTATTGACAAGCATGAGCAAAAAGGATCCTTAGTGACAGCCAAGTCTGCCTTTAAATTTTGGATTTCCAATATCTCAGTGATTATTTTGCAAAATATGAAGCTAATGGAATGTGGACTCATGGAGCCTGAAGAGCTCCAGTGGCTCTGCTTATACTTCAGTGGTACCCTGAATAAAAAAGGTAATAGCTCCAAAGGTCTGCCTGTTGTTTTGCTCTTACCCTCATAAGGCCCCATTACTTCTAAGAGAATAAATACTTCTAATAAATAAAACTTCTAATGAAGAGAAACAGACATCAGCTCCGGGGTTCTTCACGGGAAATATTCCTTTTTAGATCTGTCTGTGAGCCAACGGCAGGGCCGACTGAGAAAAGGCTTGCAACACAGAATTCATTAGGTAAAAATATCGTCAGATATAAAGAATAACAATAGAATATCAATTTTCCTAAGTGGATGCAGATACTAGTTAAGTGATATATATTCTAAGATGCGGAAAAAGAGAGGAGATGGCTACTGATGTAAAATATGTAAGGTAGGGAATTGATAGGAAAATTTGTAAGAAAAGCTACCTATTTTTGACAGCATTTTCAAACTCAGAAGGCCAAAAGAAACAACAGGGTGTTCCTAAGAGGACTGGATGAAAAGTCTCTGATTAGCCTATAAACCCCGTCTAAATAGGAGATTTGGTGAAAAAAATCCAAATTACAGCAGACTGTAAAAGTATTGGTAAATTGACACTATACACCAAGAGCATGCAGGAAGATACAGATAAAAAAGCCAGCTGGCAATGACTATTGGATCAAGCTAAAAAGACAAAAAAGCTCTTGAGCTTCTGTGAGTCAAGAACAAATGTGTCATTTCAGATCACCGTTTTTTTTTTCTTCTTGAAGTCCATTGCAAAGTCACTCAGGGATATTATTATACAATAAAAATGCAGGTGCAGTAGGGATCTGATGGGATGCAACGTGTAGTACTGCACGGTATTACTGCTAAGAAATCAGCAACATGGAGTATCAACAATGTCTGTTAACCAATTCTTAATTCAATTAATCGAAATATCTAATAGCACAACATGGAGGAATTCTCTTTGCATAAGATCAGTGCAAAGTTTGAAACTCTTCTGTATCTCAATCAAGCACCTGAAAGCTGTTTATGATAAAGTTACTGATGTAAATGAAAATAAAGAAAATATATAACTAAGAATAGAAAGCTAAAAAGGACAAATTGCTCAGGAAACCCCATGCAGCAAACCAGACAGAGATATATGAAGGCACACAGCTCCAGGTGACGCATGGTATCAACAACCTGAGGTCAAACTCCAGTCATGAGCATGGGACAACTGCGTGTTAAAAGTAGCCAAGTCTACGAAAATTATCACGTAGCGGTAGAGACACCTCACCTGGTGTTTCGGCAGATGTAACTCACACCTTGGCTAGGAGCTTGTTCCAGCACAGCAATATAGAAGTTAAGTTTAAGAGTTCACAGGAACCTCAAACTGGACAATCCAAGAAGTTCATTAGCATTAAACTTGGGAGTAGAACAGATATCCTGTCCAAATCCCATCTGCTAAATTCACTAGCAATTATCCCACTGATACATATGACAAAGCTGTAACTAAAGGATGGAGCAGATGCACTTTTGCCAGAAATCCTATCGGTGCTGAAGACGTTTGACTTCAACGACTTGCAGTGAAATTGGCTTCTATCGAGCTATTGATCTTAAAATTTCCAGATTAAAGTAACTGTGCACAGCTTATGCCTCTAGGAAGCTGCACTAAACTCCCTCCTAACAAGGAAAAAAACATGGTACAAAAAAAATACTAACCAAGACCAGAAACAGGAATTGATTCAGTCTTCAGCATTCAGGGAGATTCTCTTCCTTCATGGAAAAGATGAAGATTGTCAGGAACCCACAATGAAAACATGCAGGTGATCAGAAGATCAAACCTTCTGGTTAGGAAAACCAAATTTACTGTTACATGGTAAGAATTATAATCTTTTACATTACTAATAACTTACAGACATCCTTTTCAACATTTTAAAATATTTATTGGTTGGTATCCTGTGCGAGTATTTTCCTCTCTTTCAGAGTCTCTTTTGTTGTTTTAAGTTTGAGTGTTTGAAATCTGCACTCCTGATGAACTGCTGTTGAGTTCTGCTGGAACCAAGAGTGCATATATCCATTATAGAAGTCAGTTGCTGTAAGTTTCTTCTTTAATACAACCGCTTTGATTCCAACCCAGTCTTCCTAAAAAAACAATAATAAAAAATAGTCAGTAAGCTCCCTCCAAAATCTAGAAGGATTAGCTTTAGCTCTTATTGTTGACTACATTATAGAACGTAGTACCAAGTTTCTATTAGGAGTCAAACTGTGACTTGCAAATGAAAAGCCTGTTAGTTGAAATTAAGAGTTCTATCAAATAAACAGACTGACTATAATCTCAGCTAAATTTGGGAGTAATGATAGACAAATAAGACAATGTTAAAAAAAATCTTCAGTGAATATAAAATAAAGGCAAAAACCCACCTTGCAACGAGCTATCAGTGTTTGGGACAGTTTATGGTATAGCAGTGAACCAGGCACAGCTCCAAGGTCATTTAATACTTCATCTGAAAATAAAGAGAAATTGTCTTATATTTCTACATAAACAAGTAAAAAAAAGTCTGAAGTACTGCAATGTCTCTTTAAAACAGAGTAATTATCTCAAATTATTATGTTGCTCAGAAATATTCTGTTGCATTTTGTGCTGTATTTTACTCAAATGAGTAGGAGAGAATGAGAACAGGGTGGAAGTGACTCATGAACAGCAGTCACTCTCCAGCACAGCTCCCCGTCTCATGCACGAACACTCATTAAACCCTCTGTACTCTTGTAGATACCAACAGAGCCCACGAGATTTTTAGACTTAAAGGCCACTAAAAATTATTTCAGCAAGAACAGGCTGGGATGGCTTCTCTTGTGAGAGATCCTGCGGGACTGACATTGGGAGAGGATCTCCAGAGTAAGGAGAAGGTTAGAAACTCCTAATCTCTGGATTCACATCCCTACGCCTGTTCCTCCTTCAATATCACCACTAAGCAGACACGTCCTTAAAGTTTATCTTATACTCAGGGCACAAGAATTCTGTGCTCCAGGACTAGAGTATTTGAGATTGACTTAGTTCTACTGGAGTTTCAGGAATCAGTTATTTAAAATCATCATCTAGTACAACTGTTATTAGTCTTCAAGCTAAGTTAAACCCTAGTGGCTTTTTAAACATTAATAAATTAATTTAAAAGTAAATACCAGCAAACCCAGGGATATTATGCACTTCCACAAAATCCAGGAGTTTGACAGGACTACCCTTCCAGAGCGTCTGCAAAGGAAACTGCAAACAGAAGCAGATGACACACTGAGAATATTTTCATGACTTCCAGGTAATTGTATAGCTTTTTTTTCTTATGCAAGATACCTGTGATAATAGCATTAAGGAAAAGTTTAGGTATTAGGGACAGATAAAAGACTCTTAACTGGACATGGTTTTCCATGTTCTTTATCAAACTAAGAGCATATGTATAAGATAAGCAAGTACCTGTAGCAGCTGTTTGGTTGCACTGTATGATGTTATGCAAAGAAAACTTTATAGCATTCTGAAATCTCCTCAAATGTGTCAGAAGTACAGAAAGAAAACAAAGCTACAGAGCTAATTTCAGGCTTGGGATCAAGTTCAAGAAAATTCTGCTCACCTTTAACTCCATCTCATACTAAATCGCCCTGGCATTTTAAACAGGTTCTAGGCAGAAGCTAAACTAACTAAATAGCCTCCAAGTTTTAGTTACTAGTTAAAATACATAAAGACTGGAGGGCAGAAGGCAGATTTGAAAGCAAACAAAGAAGAAGCTGCTGCCTTACCATACTTCCTATGGCACGATGCAGCTGTATTATCTGCACAGCTGTTTGTTCCTCCCATTTCACACAACTCTTGGCTATCGTTATTTTAGGAGCTAGCAAAACATAACAAGAAAGTAAAACACTTGTTATACTTAGCTGCTTTTTTGCAGATAGGTAATTGTATTGATTTTATCCTGGTCTACAGGATATGATCAATAGATTACAATCTATCCACAGGGAAAGTATACAGCTGCTAGAGAAAAGTGGATTTCTTAAAAGTCTTAAACTGGCTTATTTATATGCTCTTTTGTGAGTTGCCCTCTTACTTAACCATTGCACTGCAAGCTGGTGATTCATATTTACAGGCACACCGAGCACTTTCTACACACATGAAGAATAAAAAACTGGCTTGGATTTTGTGACATTGGTAGGTATTTTCATATTGCCTGTATAACTGAAGAAAAAAAAGAAAAAAACAGTAACAAGGCAAGTCTGGAGAAGAATTCTAAAGCATTCTTCCCTCAGTATGATTCTTTTCTTTTTTAAAAAGAAAAAAAGCACAGAAGGCAATGAAGGGACCATACTGAGAAGGATGTCTGTAAAATATAACCCAGCACAGCAGGAAGCAACTTAATTTCTCCAACACATTAAAAAAAAAAAAAAAAAAAAAAAGAAAGAAAATCCAAGCAAGTTGCATTAAATATGATGTGTACCTACCGAATGTTACCCCTTCTTTTGGTTGCTCTTTTTTATTTTTTAAACTTTCAGGTAAATTTTTCAAAACATTGATGAGCTGCAAAAAAAAAATGAAATTAACAAATCTAAGAGTATTAATATTACACTGTATTTACTGTTATTGTCAAAAGTATAATATGTACAAAACAGTCCTTCACTTTCATCACTGAAAGTTCCTCAGGAGTTTTTAGAAATTCCTGTCACTACATTCAGCAGACACACTACACATAAAAATACACTAAAAGCGCCACTGAATCATAATTAAAGAACAAATATTGTTTTACGAATAGCCTGTTCAATGACAGCAATCCCAGAAGAGCTGGAAAGCTGATTTTTAACAAAATAAAAATGTAGACATTAACTTCAAAATGAAATAACCAAACTGTTTCCACATAAAGCACTTGGGTTCTTCTTTGGATAGAAATAAAATGGCAACAAAAGTGCAAGAAGAGCTTGTGTGAATTTACCATGTTTGCACCCATGTGTGACAGCGTCGCTTCTAGCTCCTTTGCAGTACAGTGGGGAGGAACAGCGATCTCTTCTTGCTTAATAATTGGACCCACATCAAACCTGCAGAGAAAGCACGCAGGAGAAAAAGCCTTAACTAACAGTACAGATGTGTACATTAAATCCACTTCCTCAGCTACCAATTACTGCCTTTTTCTACTGAAATTTTTAAAATTAAATAATGGGTTCACAGGACAGAAAATGAAATTTATAGAAGCAAGCTAAACAATTTTCAGATCAGAAGTATAAAATCTCTGAATAATCAACCTGAAACGTTCAAAGGAAAATTCACATGATCCTGAGAGCTGTTTCTGGATAAGCAAACAAAAAAAAAAACAGCCAAATAAGCCTGGGTGTGCAGAGAGCTGTGCAACTGCTTGCTGTCTACCAACCTGCTGTAATAATGCTATAAATTAGAGACGATACCTGTGATTACTCACATGAGAATTATTAGCACAATCTAAACAAGCTGAAGACGCTAAAACTGCACCAGAGACCTCTGCAATAGAGAGGTCCTTTTCAATATAATCTATAAATCATTGCACTGTCTTTTGTGTTTACTTCAGATRTAAAATACACATTTTGAGAAGCAGATTACTAGGAAGCAATTCATACAAAACAGCAGTATTTGACCTGCGTGACTACTGGACATCCGAATCCTTAAAGACGATACCTTAAAAAGATAATAGTTTCATGCAGCAGCCTAGGGGGGACAAATTATGTACCCAGTCAAATACAGTGTATTTTGACGAATCCCATATGTTCAAGATGAAAATTTAGAAATTATTTCAAATATGCATCTTAAAAAAAAAAAAAAAGAAAAAAAAAACACACTAAGGCTTGTAAAAGAGCTTTTTAAATGATGGCTTAAGCAGTGACAATTTAAATTCCTGAGAAGCAACAATGACAGAGACTTGCTTAGAAGATCGTATCTCATGTACCTTTTTGGTCTGATCTCCATAATTGTCACCCCAGTTACTTTGTCACCGTGCAGCACTGCGTGGACTATCGGTGCAGGACCACGCCACCGAGGCAGGCAGCTGGGATGGATATTCAGCACCCCACTGAAATGAAATATTTCCAAGTTACAATCAGAATAGGAACTAAAATTCATATAAATAGGCTTTACATTTCATATAAGTAAKCTTTACATTTCATATAAGTAAKCTTTACATTTCATATAAGTAAKCTTTACATTTCATATAAATATATATGAAATCAGTTAATATAAATTTATATGATTTATAATCATAATAATAATTTATATGATTTATAACCACATAAATTTGATATTTGGTTCAATAATTTTCAATAATGAAACTATTTTAGAAATTAGCTATTCAGACCATCTGAAATGTTACTGTTTCAAATGCACATTTAAAGGAAAACTMCTAATACATAACGCTTAGTTCCTCAGCGAGCACAGAAGGTGTGAGGAGAGGGAAAGGGGAGCGAGTTACACTGGAATTTGTGGAGTAAACGCTGCAGCGAGAGAACAAGCCTTGGCCTGCGCAGGTGAACGCAGGGAAGCGGCTCAGCTGCCRCCAGTCTCGCACACAGACTACAGCRATGTTTGAAAGCAAAACCAAACGGAGACGGGGACAGATGTCCCCCCGGTCACTTACTAGGGGAACTGCAGGATGAGGTCGTCGCTCAGGAGGCGCCCGAAGGAGGCCACGACGCCCACGTCGAAGGCCCCGCGGGGCCCCGTGTGCGGCCACTGGTGCGTGGGCAGGCGCAGGCGGCGCGCGCACCGCCGCACGGGCAGCTCTGCGGGCAGCGCCACCACCTCCAGGCGGGACACGAGCGGGAGCGGGGCCCGGCCGGGCTGCCTGCGGCGGACAAGGCGCTGAGGACCTGGCGTGTGGAGCGGGGAGAGGCAGAGACGGGGCTGGGGCCTTCCCCCCGCCGCCCCTTCCCGAGGGTACCGAGCCCGTCGCCCAGCCCAGGCCCCTTCCCGGCCGCAGCCCCCGCTCTCCTGCCGGGCCCCTCGGTAAATCCCCCCAGGGGCTCCCCCCAACTTGCCCCTCCCGCCCGGCCAAGCCTCACAGACCCCCCAAACCCTCGCCCTGCACAGCCCGCCCCGCAGCGACCCTGCCCGCTCCCCACCGGCCCCCGAGACCCCCCGCCCGGCCCCTGCTCCCCGCGCAGCCCCTCAGCCTCCTCCGCGCCCCCAGGCCCCGCTACCTGGCGGCCTCCAGCGCCTCGAGGGCGGTGACGGCGAAGCTGTCGCTGCCGAAGAACAGCACCCGCCACGGCGGCCCGGTCCGGGCGGTCGCGGTCCCGGTCCCGGTTCCGGTTCCGGTCCCGGTTCCGGTTCCGGTCCCGGTTCCGGTCCCCATCGTCGCCGCCGCCTGCAGCCCCGCACGCGCCGCGCGCAGCAGCCGCCCCCTCATCCCGCCGCTTCCGGGTCGCGCCGCCGCCGGTCGATGACGCTACACCCCGCAGCGGCGCGCCGCGAGTGACGCTAAGGGGCGGGGCCGAGAGAGCGGGGCGGGGCATAGACTGTAAGGGGGCGGGGTATATGTGGTAGGGGGCGGGGCACGGGCTCCCCAGGGGCGGGGCACAGGTTGTTCGGGGGCGGGGCATGGGCTGCCGGGGGCGGGGCATGGGCTGTTCGGGGGCGGGGCATGGGCTGCCGGGGGCGGGGCATGGGCTGCCGGGGGCGGGGCCATGGTGGCTGTGCGGGGCCGCTGCTCCCGCACCGCGGCGCCGCCAGGGCCCTGGCACCGGGCACTGGGGGCTGCTCCTCGGGGCTGGGGTCTCGTCACCCTGCGGTCTTGTCACCCCGGAGCCCGGCCGCTGTGACCGTGACTGCGGTCCTGTCACCAAGAGCAGGGTCATCCCGGCACCCTGCTCCTGGCCGGGTCCCAGCACCCCGCACATGACTGACACCTCGTCACTCTGGTGTCGTATCACCGTGTTGTCCTGTCGCTGTCACCGGCATCCTGTCACCCTGGGGTCCCATCATCCTGGGATCCTGTCAGTGTGACCAGGCTCCTGTCACCTTGGAGTCCCATCACCCTGGGCTCCTGTCACCCTGGGGTTCTATCACCCTGGGCTCCTGTCACCCTGGGGTCCCATCATCCTGCGATCCTGTCAGTGTGACCAGGCTCCTGTCACCCTGGAGTCCCGTCACCCTGGGCTCCTGTCAGCCTGGGGTTCTATCACCCTGGGSTCCTGTCCCAGTGATGGACAGGGTCCCATCTCCCAGACCCTGACTGGGGTCCCATCACCCTGCCCATGAGCCAGGTCTTGTCACGCSGGCGTCCTCTCAGCCCGGCCCACAAGACCTCAAAGCAGCCTTAGAAGAGCATAAAAAGATAAAACGGGRATTAGAGGAGTGGGGGCTGGAAGGGGGTCGTCTCCAAAGCCAACTCGAGCAGCCCTGGTGTGAGCACTGCATCCAGCCACGCCTGGAGCCTCTCCCGGGACAACCTGATCCGACCTGCGAGCGCTCTCAGTGGAAATCAGCATTTCCTTGGGATCCATTGGAACCTGCAGCGGTCGCTGCCTCCCGCCCTGCCGCCAGGTCCCACCAAGAGCAGCCCGTCCCCTTGGCACCCCCGTGAGATACCTGCCCACGTTGACAAGGTCCTGCAGCCACCTCCTCTCCACCCAGCCTCCGGGTGCTGCTTTTCCACTGCTTTTGCTGCAGATTGCTAACTGCTGCCTTCGAAAAGCTAATTCCTGCCTCGCTCCCAGCGATCCTAATTTGGAGAATKTCTTCTTGTAACCTACGAGGTCGGGCTGAGAACTGTCTTCTCCAGCAGCATAAGGATGGAAATATTTTAGCCCTTGCTGAGGACATTCTTTCCCCCACGAGGAGATGGTTTATTCGTGTAGACCTCCCGTTCTTGCAGTGTAAATTACACGCACAAATCCCCCGTGCCTCTAAATCACGCTGTGGCCTAATGTCTTTGACRCTCGGAATTCCTAAAGCATGGGATGGGAGGAGACTGGAGGCGTTAGATCTGTGCCAGGGACCTGTGCATTACTTGGAAATGAACTGGTGGACTTTGTGTCAGAGGGATCCGCTATGGAATGGGAAGTTCGTCCTGCGCTTAGTGGCACTGCACGTATTCAGATCCAGAGCTGTTCCGCACGTCAGCAGGGTTTTCATATCCCCCTTTTTGATTCACACCTAAGGTGCCTCCATCTCCACTGAAGAACAAAAAAAAAAATCATGAAAACTAATTAGAGAAATCCCAGAATCCCAGAATCCCAGAATCCCAGAATCCCAGAATGGTTGAGGTTGGAAGGGACCTCTGGAGATCATCCAGTCCAATCCCCTGCTTGAGCAGGGCCACCTGGGGCACGTGGCACACAAGAGCGCTGTTTTAGGTAGGAAAATTACTCAGGGCACCCTAATTGTGGTTCTTATGTCCCCACACGCTGAGGAAAGAAGATCCTACCAGATATAATTTCCCAGGTCAGAATCAGCCCGTAAAAACAACCTGTCCCAGAAAGGAGAAGTTCCCAATTACCAAACAAGCCCCASAGAATTAATCGGTGCAGTCCCATCCGGGAGAACATGAGCGACTGCAGCCACCTCATCTCGGGATGGACGCAGGGAAGAATATAGTAGAAATTTAAAAGGATACCTGAGAGCAACGGGGAGGATGGAACAGCTTCTGCCCATGAAGAGATTAGAAGCAACCGGGAAGTTCCCCTTGGCCGAGAGCGAGGAGGGGCGACGGGGAGGCTGGCATCTCGCTTATCACCAGTTTTTATTGGTGGGGAACAGTTACGGTTATACAATAACGAGCAAACAGTATTATCRAGCACGGGGAGGTATCAGGGAGCCGAAGGAAGGAAGTAGTGTTTCACAGCGTGTAATKTGAACACGTAATATCTCGGATGCTAAAAAAAAATCTTGGATGCAAGAAGTGACCTGACTAATTCAAGGGAATAAAAAAAAAAAAAAAAAAGCTCACTGAGAAATATTAACCATTAGGACAGCCCTGAAACACCAGTTAATTAGTGGGGACTGTTGGTTTTCATCAGTAGCGTTAAGCTCTTGCAAGGGCAGGAGGTGTTTGGAGTCCTGCGGAAGAGCGGCAGCRCTCCAAGGAATTGGTCAAGACCCTGGATTTCTCCCCACTGCTGCTATGGTCCTCAGAAAGGGCTTGGATGGACCGGTCGGGTGCTAAACACCACTCAAAGATCGAGAATTCAAGCCCAGGAGTTAAGCGCGCTCAGTGTTAGTTTTAACCAGTTAGTTCTAACTAGTTAGTTAAGTGAGCTCGGTGTTGTTGGCTCATGGGTGCTGCATTTAGGGTCACTACCTTCTTTTATGGCAATGAACTTAACCTTTGGGATGTGGCCTCAGCTCTGCCAGGAGCTTGGGATTCTGGAAATACCGACACTCCACGCGGAGTTTTTGCCAGACTTCCTCATGAGATAATTAATGTTTTTTCATGTGCAGTGAGTTTATGGAGTGGACTTAAATTCACTCCAAAATGCTCCTTCCCGAGCAATTTATCACTGTATAGTTCAAAGGGATTACGTCCGTTATTTAGTATTATGCCTTGGACTCACTGTGCATGAATTTAATGCAGGATTTATCTGGCTGTAGCTTTTTCTACAGCGGAGTGGAAGCAGCCGTGTGGTCATTATTTAAAAAAAAAAAACCCAGGCTCAGAGATCTGGCTTTTGTGCTGGGTTTGAGCTCAGCTTTTGTACATGGTAAAGAAAAAAAAAAAGGGAAAATGAATGTTTAGTTATTCTGTAACCAGGCATTTCGGGTCAAAGACACAGAAGGGATGAAAAAGAAAAGATAAGCAAAAGTAGAATGCCAAGGTCAGACTCGTCCTTCCTCAGCGTGCTCAAGACAAGCCTGAGGAGGAAACAGAGCACAAATCAATATCTTATCTATGCGTTGCTTCTGCGCCAAAGACGCTCAAAGTGTCTCCAAGAAATGAGAAGTTATCTGCAGTTGGAGCGGGCCAGTGTTGTCAGGGGAATGTGGAGTAAATCACGCCCGGTGGTGCCCGAAACCTGCCTCCGAGAGCGTTCCCGGTGCGCCGGAGAGGCTCCCGGGCGCTGCAGGGACCGGTGGGAATCTCTGGGTTCGTGTCCGTGTCCAGCACATCCATTGCTGCTTCCCGGTGCTCCCACTTTGCTTCTTTTACTTTCGAGCCTGGGTTTCACTTGCTGKGGACAGCCCGTTAGCTCTGCAGGAGGTTGGGGTGCAAAGGGGTCAGCGGGGATGTGGTGCTCATCCTAACGCTCTTGGAGCTGCTTCTTGGCTGCGGTTATCCTGGGGTGCTCCTCTCCCTCCACATGCTCCAAGGTCGGGCCAAGCCTTTTCCTTGCACCTCTCCCAAAGGCGGGAAGTGACATGACCATGGGAGCCTTTGGATCCCTGGGAGGACATCATGAGGATGCTGCAGGGAAGCATCACCTCATGTGAGGGCACTTCCTAAATGCTCCATCGTGGAGCAAGGAGGGAGGACCGCATGGGCAACAGCACCCGGGGACCTCCAGCCTCTGGCCATCTCCCTCGGTGGAAGGGAGCTCTGGGCTCCTTGGACACGGATCTTCTCCCTGCCAGCCTCAAGCTGAGCAGCAGAACTGCCCGTTTCACTAACTGCCCGTCTGCTGCGGAGAATTGCACCGGAGCGGCCAGAGGAAACTYGGAATCAGGCTTACAACACACCGCAGAGCCTGTTATTGGGAGACTGCCGATTTGCAATGTCCGCTGAAATCCATGCACGGCAAAATCCCATCCCCGGGCACGGCCAAACCCCACCCGTGGGCCCTTCCTCCTGTCATCCCCACGAGATGCTCCGAGAGCCTTGGCGTGACCCATGCTCTAGGACGCGGGGCGATGCTGGTGCTCCGGGTGAATCCTGCGCCGCGCGGAGCCGCTCGCTTCCTTCCCGCAGGGATTTATGGCGCGCGGAGCCGCTCGGGACGAGGCCAACAGCCGGGGCAAACGAGCTGCCGGTGACCCGCGGGAGCGGGTCGTTCACCCCACGCTATAAACGGCCCCGCGAAGCAGGGCTGGGTTCTTCCCGGGACCTGGGCGCCGCTCTGCTCCCGGAGCAGCCTTGGCCGYGGCTCCGGAGCGGGATGAATCACGGCTCGTAGCGGGAGGGAGGCAGGGAGGGAAATGCAGCCTTGGTCCTCGTGGGAACGGCTGGGTCTGCCGGGCAGAGCGAGATAACGCACGGCGCTAACCGGTGAGTTAAAGCGGAGCTGCGTTTGGGGGAAAGCTGCTTGGTTTATCCCGCTTTGTTGGGGTCTTTGGGGGTTTTAAGGCTTCATTTATGGCTTCCTTGAGGAGAGGCTGACAGGCTGTAAGGGGAATGGGGTTCCTCCTGCTATGCATAGACTGGAAAACACCCAAAGGGAAGCACTGGGTATAGCTTGTTCTCTAACTTTTGCCTTAGCAAAGGTTAAAAAATAGCCCAGACCGCCCGCTTGTTTTAATATTTTAAATACAAGATATTTTTCCTGCATTCCTTAATGGGACTCAGCCCACAAAGCACCCTTGTTTGGGTGCAAAGCCACCCACTTCTGTCTCCGTGGCGTAACCTCGTATATCCTGTACGAACGCCAAAGACGGGGCATCCCGCTTCAGCCGCGCGTGTGGAATAACGTGCTCGTTGTAACAAGATCAGCCAAGATAACCCGCAGACAGAGAGTCTGGAGGGCAGAGAAGACTGGTTTAGAAAAACTTGGGCACTGTAAGCGCGTGGTCTCGTGCTGCATAACAAGACGAGGGGACGTGATCAGCTCACCACGGACTGCTTTGTGATGGGCTTTCCACAAGACCTTCTTGTTTGCGCCTTAGATCAGCACAGAAAAGCCCTCACACTTTCCATTTGCACACTGAGGACCACAGCTGTCTCGGTAAGCGACCTAGAACATTAAACCTAACTGAAAACCAGCATGAAATGGGAAATAAAAAGCACACGTTAGGTGCACAGCTCTGCACACGCTGTGGGTGCCGCATGGGCGCTCGTTGACCAGCTCCTCGCGGWGCCACCACCGTCCCGGGCGCTGGCCTTGTGCTGCCCAATGGGTGCTCCTTTCTCCAAGGTCTCCCAGCGATTTTGTCCTTTCGGCGCTGGGATCAATGGGCACGATTGAATTGGTCACGTTGCCACTTTTTTCGTAATTTGCTAAGATTTCACGAGAGGCCGCCGAAGGCCACAGATGGACGTGTTGAGCAAGAGGGTTTGGGACAGCGTTAGCAAGTGATGCTTTGTCGCTGGCGCACACAGCATGGAAATTTGGCAGCTTTTCCTCCCCTTTTCCTCCCCACGTCACCCATCCCGCTGGGGCTCTCGGGTGCTGGGTGCCCTCACCTGCACGGAGCAGCTCCGYGGATCCTCCGCAACACGAGCCAAGGCGCAGGCCGGGGTTACTCCAGAGTCCTCGGCAGCCCGCGTGCCCGGCGGGCTGTAAAAATGTGACCTTTGAGTCGCGGAGACGTCGAGATCAATGCTGTGCGGGCAGGGGAGGGGGAAGCGCGGCCGTCATTAGGTCTATAACCGATAGGGCGAGCGCTCGGCTGAGGAGTCAGCGCGGCTGCCCGGGAATTGTTTCATGCGGTGCCAACGTGCGCTGCGGATCAGGGTGAATCAGGGCTTGGGGCACGGGGTAATCATTAATCGCCCGTGGGGCCGGCGTGCGCGAGGGCCACGCGGTGCCCGGGCAGCGAGGCCGGRGAGGCCGGGAGGCTCCGTGGGCGGCCGGGGCCGAGCGGGCGCTGCGGTGCCGCGGGGGCTCCGGCGGAGCAGGGCGCTCCGGGCCCTGGCTGCTGCGGGCGCTGGGCTGATGCTGCGGAGCAACGAGGGGCTAAAGGTCAGGGAGGAGCCGGCGCTTCCTTGGGGCCTGGGAGACGCCTTTGGCTCCGGGCAAGGCGGCTCCTCCTGCTCCCCGCGCCGCACATCCCCGTCGCGCCGCCCGCGGGCCGCCAGCGCAGCCCCTGTCCCCAAATCCCTGTCCCCTGGAGCCAAGCGGGTGGTTGGGAAGGCGCAGGAGAGCGAGCAGTGTGCCAGGGGACTCCCCGGTGCCTCGGAGCCTCGTGCAGCATCCCRGGCTCAGCGCGGGGCGCCGGGGCTGCCTCTCACTGTCGGGCTCTTTCCCAGGTGGCTGCACGTGGAGGAAACGCCGGGGAAGGCGCGATCCATCCCGGGAGCCATGAGGTGCCTGTGGRTGATCCCCTTTCTGCTGCTGCAAGGTAGGCGCTGGGCTCGTGGGGCGGCAGCGCCGGCGCCGGCCCTGCCCGGGGGCTCCGTGGGTTCCAGCAGGACGTTCCCTGCTGGGCACGTCGCTCCGAGTTGGTCCTACACAACCTTCCATCACTGCGTGACCCTGTGGGCTCTTTGTGCCGCTCTGTGGGTGCACGCCTATGCAATGAGAGGAGTGTCCTTGCGATGCTGTGCCGASCTGTCCCTCCAGCTTGCTGGAAATTCGGCTTTGTCCTCCCCAAGGCCCTCTCTCCCCAGCGAGCGCCAGCAGCAGCCGGCCCCGCCGCGGGGAGGTGACACCCCAAGGTGATGCTCAGGGCGCATTGCCACCTCTTGGGCATCAAGGAAGAGAGCTGAGCGCCACAGAGATGGATTTGTATAAACTGAGGGTTATTGTCTCATTATACAGGGACTCTCTGCACCTAYCCAGTGCAGCAGGGTTAGACAGCAAAGCTGGAGAGACCTGAGCCCCAAACCCTTCTCCCTTGAAACAGAGCAATTAGAAGCAGCTCTGGTTTGCCYAGCTGGGGAAGGACACGAGGGTGCTTTGACCAACAAGGATTATCTCCATCCCGAGAGGCCACGCAGCAGCCTGCAAGGGATGGAGGAGGCTCCCAAAGCTCTGAACATCCTCTGCTTCTTGGACCAACCCTGGAGAGTCCTCCCCAACCAGCAACGGCAGGAAGGGGGCTGGGATGCAGCAATGCCCGGTGCTCGCTGGTTGACYGCTCTCATCCTCCGGTTCCTTTGCAGACACCAAAGCCTTCCTGATGCAAAACGCCAGAGCCAAGCAGTGCTTGCAAGCCAGCCCCACGGACGGGACATTGCTGCTGGAGGGCTGTGATCCCGCCTCGCCCTTCCAGGACTGGTCTTGGCAAGGCGCCTCCTTGGTGAACGCGGGCACCAGGCAGTGCCTCTCCGTGCGGGAGGACGGCGGCGTGGGCACGAGCGGCTGCGCGCGCGCCGGCCGCACCGCCTGGCGCTGCTCCGGCTGGCTGCTGTCCCCCGCGGGCCRCAGCCAGGGCTACCTGGTGGCCAGCAGGAGCGGCGTGGGCCTGGCCGAGGCCACGGGCCCCAGGGCGCAGTGGCGGGGCGCCGCGGAGGGCAGCGTGTGCCAGGAGAAGGGCGGTAAGTGCCCGCGCGCCGGCTGCGCCCCGGGCTCTTTGCAACCCACAAAGAGGTCCTCAAACTGTCCCCGCGTCTCGCTGTGGGATCGGGTTGTGCTCGGGGAGCTTCACCCTGCCTGCGGGGTGGCCCTGGGAGAGGAGGAGAAGGTCGTTTTTTTGAAGAATCGCAGCGAGTATCTTGGAGATTGCAACATGAATCCTCTCTGTCTTTTCCTGTCTGCAATTYTTGTCTTGTCTGCAGCCGATGCAGAGCTCGAGGGATTCGTGGCCGCGGCCCTCGCCAGCACCCGCATGCAGGAGCCGGCAGCCACCAACGGCACCCTGCTGCTGGGGCTGGCCCCGGAGCACCTGGACGAGCTGCTCTGGTTCTTCCGCAGGGAAGACCGTAAGTCYCCTGGGTGCTCCTGCGTTGGGAGCTGGAATAGAGAGCCCTGGGTGGCGCCCCTTGCCCAACGGGGTGCCCTAGCACCCACGGGAAGCAGCAGTGATTGTGTGGGCTCGTGCTCTTACCTCCGGGAAAAGCTGCTCGTGGGCAGAGGTGGGCATGGGGCTCTGCAGGGATGGGGTCCTCTCCTGGAGAGGAGCTCATCCTCTTTCCATGGACATCCTGCCAAGAGCRGAGAGCAAAGATCTGGGCTCAGCAGGGATTTTGGCAGGAGGGAGCAGATCAATAGGAGCTGGTCAGGTGAACCAGAGTGAACTTCAAAGCCATGGAAATCAAGGCCGGAGCAGCCTCTGCCATCCAAGCTGCATCCCACCCGCCTGCGTGCGGGAAGGGGAAGGGCTGCAGGGCGGGGAGGCCCTTCCAGCAGCACCCAAGGGCGATGCCGCAGCCCCCCARCCCTGCGCCCGCCCTCCAGCACCACCCTGAGGCCACGGGCAGGCCTGGAGAGGCAGGTGTAGCCACTGGGAGAGATAGAGACCCCAACGGGGGGGACTGGGAGAGGCAAAAATCACCTGTGTGGGTCTCCTGCTCCATGAGGGGGAGTTACCCAAGCTTATTCAAAAAAAAGTGACCCGACAATGTGCGGCAAASCTGGGCTGTGCCGGCCCCGCCGCTCGGCGCATGCCCACGCCGCGGCTCCCTGCTCTCCCACAGCGTCAACGTGGAATTACACCATGCTGGCCCTCTCCTTCGTGGTCCTGTTCCTGGGTCTCTTCCTCCTGGCCACCAACGTGGTGCGCAACAGGTGAGGCTGGAGGATGTCCTAAGGCCAGGGAAGGCGGCGGATGCGTCCCCAGGGCGCAGGGGCAGGAGCGAGCCCTGCGGGACGGGCTCCCTCGAAGCCTCCCCGTGGCAGGAGCTTGTCTGGCCCCCCAGCCCTGCAGAGTGACCGTCCCCTGCCCCTCGGCACGGGCCAGACCTGCTGCTTCCCTCCTCACCCCCCTCCTCCGCAGGAAAAGGAAGGTGCAGGTGGAATCGGAGCACACGGCAGAGCCGGCGGAGCTGGAAGCCAAGCAAGCCCTGGTGCCCGTGGAGGAGTTCGGCCGCGCCGACCCGCACAAGCAGGAGCTGCTGCCCAAGGAGGAGAGGTCGGGAGAGGTGCTGGTGCAGTGGAAGGAYGGCACCGTCACCACCCTGTACACAGAGAGGTCGGAGGAGACCCTGTAACAGCAGCTGAAGCCAAACCACGCGGCCCCTAAGGAACAAACTGCACCACTTCCTCGGTTGGAAAATCTCAAACAGAAGAGGGGAGCAGCACAGGGAGCAGGGGCAGAAGTGGCACAAAGCCCTGGATTCTCCTGCCACCCCTGCCCGGCCGATGCTCCCGCCCCGCGCCGACTCCGCGGCCCTCGGATGGAGCGCGGAGGCGGGATGCGCTCGAGGCTCCTCCAGGGAACAGCAACACAGAGGAGCTGCCCTTCTTCCCAAAAGCTGCCTTTATTAAAATATTTTCCAAAGTGGGTGATTGAAATCACATATTGCATCTCTCTCTATATACCTGTAAGGTCATATATATATAAATATATATGTATATATGTACATATATACACGCGCTCGTGGATATTTTACTCTGCAGGTTAAGAGCAGCTCCAGAGGGAAGCAGAACATTCAACCTGATACGGGCAAAGGGAATTGAATGCCGAATCTCGGCCCCGGCGCCGCTCACGGCCTGGTCGTCGGACCCRCTGCTCCGCATTCGCTTGCCCTTCRCACCCTGCACAGGTCTCGTGGAAATGCTGTGAAATAAATTAAGACATTTCGGAAATATATTGGTCTTTCAAGCAAAGGTTTTTCAAGGTGTGCCCTTGCCAGCGAAGCGTTTCTCTTTGCGCAGTCGTTAAGAAGGAACACTGCAGGGTAAAAAAATTGCTTAAAACCCAGATATGGCTTATTTTCGATGCGCAGGAATGAGCTTCAGGACACTCAATGCCTGTAGTCAGCTGTAAAAACATTTGCAGCTTTCTCATTCAGAGTTAAAAAAAGACCACGACGACTTCCTCCTCCTTATTGCTGTCTTGGTGGGCCCGGCCCGTGGGACGAGTCGCACGGGTGTCCCCCGGGGCAGGTGAGGGACGTGGCGCTGCACGTCCCCACGCAGCAGCCTCCCGCCTCGGAGCGCGGTCTCCGCACCGTGGGTCTCACGGGGGCGTCACCGTCGGTGTCACCGGCTGCCACCGGACAAGCGGTCCCATCCCTGGGTGCATCCCCAGCTGCGCCGGAGACCTCACACCGTCCTCCTCGGAGCAGGACCGGGACGAAGCGAGGGGGGAACCCACATCCTTAAAATATCTTGAAGCCCTTGAGGAGGGTCAAGGCGGGCGCCTTGCGCTTGCTCTGCGCCCGCGACGACTTCACGGTGACGAGCTTGGCGCGGGCCACCGAGGGCATCTCCTTGTAGGTGACGGTGGAGAGGGCGGCGGGGCCGGGCCGCGCGGCCGGGCTCCGGGCGAGCCGGGGCTCCGAGGGA